ATTTCCTCATCTTTCTTCAAAAATCTCAAAACTCATAACGTTTTCGTTTTTGAAATCAAAAAGTGTAACAATACACTTTATTGTTAGTTGCTAGCTTTGTAATAAACAGCGGCCATATTTCAATCAGGCTTTTTTGCTCGTTTAAAATTGCTGGAGAATCAGATTTGAAGACAATTTATGCCCCGAGCATACCCGATTATAGTGGCAACAGTTCAACACCAAAACTAATTAATAATTTTTAAAATCAACTTAATCTTGCAGTGATTTCGTTCCGAGGATTATGATACTTAGCGGAAATCCAATGCACCCCTGCAACGAGATCTTTCCTAGAAGCGGTGGTCACAAGCCGAATTTCTGATTTTGTCACTTTTTGTTATGTTATTATTTGCAAAAAATTATTGCTTTGGAAGTTCAACGTTTCTTCATGAAGCATTGCATTAGTTTTTAAAAGGAACCTACCAACACAAGGCTGCTAGAAACCTGCGCGAATATGGCGCTAAAAAAAAGTCAACTTTTAATTTCCCCGTTGTAAAAATGTTTCAGACAAGCAGTTAAACAGGCATTTGACACGTGGTCCGCAGTAACTCCACTAAGATTTTCCGAAATAGCTCGTAGAGCTGACATCCAGATTGCATTTGCGCGTCGTGTACACAATGATCCGTGGCCGTTTGATGGAAGAGGTTTTCTTTATTCTCTTGAATTTATATTACAGAAGTAAATCAATGTCACACAATGTTAGCAACTTCATTAAAATTCGGGTACGAGAGTAGGCATTAAATTGTGTTTCATTCCTCTCCCTCAGTTAACTTGCATGAAACAGTTCAATTAACTGTTTTTTCTTTCATTCCTCGAGCGACAAAACCTGCAGCTTTGCTTGTGTACGTCAAAATTACATGTTTCCAAAAAGTGGCAAAGCACTTTTCTTACCCCTGGTTGTAGTAGTTGCAAATGGGATTTCAAGCAAGTGCAAAAAGTCGGAATTATTAGCTAAGGATAAATAAGGCTACATAACTGATAAAAAAGGTATGTGAAATTCTTATTCATGCACCTTCTAGATATGCTTGTTTACAGGAGGTGTGCTAGCGCATGCAACCTTACCACCGTCCGGTCTGCTTCATTTTGATTTGGATGAAAAATGGGCATATATGAATCCAGGAGCCATTGCAAGGTATATACCAACCCTCAGCTGCTCATATTGCTCCTTTTGATTGCTTTAAGAATTTTTAAAAGCAGGAGTAAAATTAGAGGAATGAGTATGAGTAAGTCAAAAAGTCAAAAAACAAAAAGACTACTGAGAAAATAAAAAATTACCAACATACGAAAAATTTCCTAAATATTCAGATAACTGCTGTCATCTTTCTTCATTTCATATTTGGCGGCAATTACAATAATTGGCCAACGCACCGGCTGCCGGTGCGAACGTGCATTTTTTGCATAGTTCTCTGTAATTTACCCCCTTGAAATTTCAGCTTTCTAACTTTCCTGGCTCCCGAGCTAGCAACTTACCTGAAAAAACTTTCACGAGCCCGTGCGTTGGTACGACGCATGCCCGACGTCTGTTTTTGAGCTCTTTTAATACTCACTTGGATGGGGAACATCACCTTAAAATTCCAGTTCTATAGCTTCTCAGGTTCCCAAGTTAGCAACTTGCCGAAGAATGAAGGTGATGATCAGGAGTTGAGGGCGATGAATGGCGATAGTGGCCGGGGTGGTGGGCGATGAGCGCCTCGATGCTTTCTGGGAGCAAGGGTTGGGGACAGGATGGAGGAGGGGAACAAGGGTGCTAGTCAGAAGTTCGGGGCAAAAACTGTAGGCAACAGTAAAGAGGGAAATAAACTAACGCAGCACCACAGAGAAAAGTAAATTAAGACAAACCTAAACTCGTGAATAAAAGA